TACCAATTTCTCTTATTGGGCTCGAGTCAACTTTGAAACTCGTATCTCTTGGTTCTAAACCAGAACTCTAACCACTGCTCCACTACTGCAATTTCTAAATGAATTTTTGAAAAGATCGATATAAAATTTGTAGATTAGTTTTGTAAATCTTAGATTAAGATAATAAAGTTTTCTAAATTTAGATTTGATGACTGAAAACTTGTTGTCATAGAGATTTTAGATTTAGGGATTATGTGTTTTGGTTAAACAAAATCGAGATATAAATACATAGAAATTAGAGATATACATACATATATCTTTCAGTTTATTCTCTTAATAAAGGGGCATTAATAGGTTAGTAATAAAATAATTATTTTTCTAATAAATTAATTATTTTTCTGACTAGGGTGCGGTAGACCAAAAAAGTTTAATAGTCACTATCCTCAAATCAGAATTAAAGACATAACAATTTTTTTTTTGGGTGATCTAAGAAGTTTTTACGGTCTTATCACAGAGCATTACCGAAGAACATTTACTTGAAATTTCACGCCTTCTTCCCAACCAATTTGGCAAAACTTGCCCAGAGATGTCTGACCTTTTTTTTTTTTTTTTTTTTTTTTTTTTTACAAATACGTGATCATAAATATAAACTAGTTCGTTTACATTATATAAAAAAAATACCGTACATATAATAAGAAAACTTTTTTTAATACAAATAATAATATATATAAAAAAGTAACACTGTTAAAAGACGCGGGAAACTTGCAGAAGACCATTTTGGTCTTGTCATCAAGAAACCGCTTTTAGTTGCGATATTTTGTATACTTAATTTATTAAGAAATTTCAGTTTGTCAAAGTCTCATGGTGGCATAAGAGTCACACATAAAAAGCTACTAGATAATCAAAAACAAAAAACGGAAAAGAGCTGTATTTGATACACATAAATATATAGTTACATGGTTTGTTATACTTAGTATATTGACATGTACGAAATATAAATAAAATCTAACATTTACTTTGCTTTAAAGTGGATTTTTTAGGGGTTTTTAGTTATTTGTTTTAATATACGTTTGTAAAATTGTTTAAGTTTAGAACAAGTTTTTTAAAAGTGTTTTCAGAGAACTATGGTTTAGTAGTTTTGTAATTATAGTATTTTTAGCTATTAGTTTGTTGTAGAGGTAAGGGCCGCGATACGAGATGGAGAAACGTGATAGTTTTGTTTTTTTATATGGTACTTTAAAATTTCCTATTCCTCGAGTTTCATATTTATTTCTATTGCATTTAAAAAATTATTCTGAAAAATGTAATGGGACAAGTCCGAGTTTATATTTGAGCATGAATATCAAATTTTGGTAAATGTTAATTTTGTAGACATTTAGTGCATTTAGAAGCTTTAGCAAATGGTTCGGCATGAGTAAATTTATCTTTATTAAATACTATTCTTGCAGCATGTTTTTGATGTCGATAAAGTGCCACTAGGTTGGATCTATGGGTACTTGCCCATGCTATATTACCATACGTATAATAGGTTTGAATGAAGGAGAAATAAAGTAGCTTTAAATTTTTTTGGGGTAGCATCGGTCTAGCTTTGTAAAGCATGCAAATGTTGTTTCTTATTTTGGTATTTAATAAGTTTATGTGAGCTTTCCATGAAATATTCTCATCGATAAGTATTCCTAAAAATTTTGTTGCTTTGGTTCTTTCGATAAATTTATTTTCTATTTTTAGAGACGGTAATGGAATTGGTATAGATTTTTTCCTTTGATTGGTGTGAAATAGAATGTAGTTGGTTTTTTCTGTACTCAATGATAATTTGTTAGATTTAAACCAAGTATTAAGTTTTTCAAGTTCAATACCTGCAGTTTCGAAGATTTCTGCGATAGAAGTAGATGAATAAAATAAGTTTGTATCATCTGCAAACATTATGGCATCAAGTTTTTTTGAGACTTTTGGAAGATCATTGATGTATAGCAAGAAGAGTAGGGGAGCTAGAATGGAACCTTGGGGAACTCCGCATTTTATTTTAAGTAATTTTGAATGGGTATTTTTATCCATAATAACACATTGCTGTCTGTTTATAAGAAAGCTCTCAAACCAATGTAAAGCAACATTTTTAATGCCATATTTTTCCGTTTTTTTAAGTAGTATAGCATGATCAACAGTATCGAATGCTTTCGATAGATCAATAAAGATTCCTAGAACAAATTTGTTATTATCAAAAGAGTCATTTATTTTATTTACAAGATCTATAATCGCATGTTCGGTTGAATGTTGTTTTTGAAATCCGAATTGTTTTTTATTCAAAATATTGTTAATAGTTAGGTATTTATATAGTTTATTGTAAACTATTCGTTCTAGAAGTTTAGAAAAGACAGAAAGGATTGAGATGGGTCTGTAGTTATTAAGTGAGCATTGCTCTCCGGATTTAAATATTGGTACAACTTTTGCAATTTTTAATTTGTCTGGAACAGTTCCTGTTGTAATTGAAGATTTAAAAATTTCGAATATGGGTTTGCGTATCACCGGGAAGACACTTATTACTACGTTGCTAGAAATCTCATCTATCCCTGGTGCTTTGTTAATTTTTAGAGAATTTTTTGCAGCTTCGAGTTCATCATAGTCTAGTCCATTGAATTTTAGTTCGCTTTGTTGATTTGTAAGATAGGTTTCAAAATAGGTATTTGGGCATTGAATTTTGGACGCCATGTTAGGGCCGATGTTTGCAAAGAAACTGTTGAAATGTTCGGCTATAGAACTTTTATCGTTGTATTCTTTTTCATCCACAACAATTCTATCAGGTAAGGTATTTGTTTTGGTATTTTTTTTCCCGATTATTTCTTTCATGATGTTCCATGATTTTTTAATATCGCCATTGGTATTTTGAAGTAGTTTTGAGTAGTATATTTTTTTAGAGTTTTTCCTTATTTTTTCAAAGAGATTTTTGTATTGCTTGTAGATAGATAAGTTGACTTCATTTCTGTTTTTTAAATATTTTATGTAGAGTTTTTGTTTTGTTTTAGAGGATTTTTTAATTCCACTAGTAATCCATGGAAAGTGTATTATATGCGGAGTTTGTGTCCTCAAGGTTGGATTTTTTATATACTTCATCCCAATTCACTATTGATAGTGTGTCTTTAAATTTTTGAATAGAAATTTTATTAGTTTTTCTTATATAAATTTTGGTTTTAGAATTGTTGTTTATTCTTGTATCTTGATTTATAGAAAAGTAAATTGGGAAGTGATCCGAAATATTGGTTTTAACTATACCTGTTTTTAAAGAGGAATCTTGAAATGCATTTGTCAAGATGTTATCTATTGCGGAAATTGAATTCGGGGTTATTCGCGTAGGTTTGTTGATAATCGGAAAGATACAATGTTGAAACATGTTGTCAAAAAAAAGTTTGGTGGTCGCATTCTTTTTGTATTTTAAACAATCTATATTTAAATCACCTATGCAGAATAGTTTTTTTTGTTCTCTATTAATTTTAAGAAAGATATCTTCCAAGTAGCTTGAAAATTTTTTTATATCTCCTTCGGGTGGTCTATAGTAGGTAGAAACTAAGATATTTTTAGTTTTGGAGTTAGTGATTTCTATTGTAAGTACCTCACAACTGGAATCAGAAATCGAAAGGTCTTTTCTTGCTTTTATTGCTTGGTCATTCCGAATATATGTTGCAATCCCTCCCCCCCTTTTGTCTGCTTTCCTTTCAGAAGATAATAATTTATAATATTGTATTTGAAAGTTAGAATTTTTTTGAATTGATTCATCAGAGCACCAAGTTTCTGTCAGACAAATCATACTGAATGAGTAATTGCAATCGGTTAAGAAATGTTTTAATTTATCAAAATTTTTATTTATACTTCTTATATTTATGTGTATTGCCATAAACCTAAGGCAAGTGCGCTACCACTGCGCTCAAGACTGCTCTAATTCATTTTCTATTTTACAAATTTTATAATTATGTTTTTTGATTGGTGATTTGTACTGATTTGAGCTTGGCAAACCGGTGGAAACCGCAATAGGATTCCGTTGCAGTTCTAAAAACAGATTTTTGCAAAGCTTTCTTGGATCGAAATGCGGACAAGCATTGTACAGAAACAAAAGAATTTCTTAAAAACGTGTTTGTGGGATTGATATTCGGACAAACAAACAATTTGACGTCAACAAAAAGGAAACAAAACAACAACTATTGGTTAACGGTTTTATGTTTAGTTTTGTCAAAACCAAAAACCGTTTTTTTTCACCTAAAAATCAGTTTTTAATTATACATACTAATCAAAGCAATCCAAAAAAGACAAGAACCACTAACTTAAAAAGACAAGTACCACTAACTTAAAACCGGTTTTTAAAATTTTTTGCCTAGCTCTCGAGCATATGTTATTAATCAATATTGCTGAGTCTACTTTTGTTTTTATAAATTTAAGTTTTACTTGCTTCAAATTTATTTTTTAAGGATTTTTTCCCTTCAATTTATTGGTACAGTATAAAATATAACTAACAATATTAATATAAAATGTCAATTATAATATTATTATTAGAGTGTTATAATAATATTATTACCAAAATGTTATAATAATATTACTATCATTATTACGCCAATATTTTTTTCGATCCTTAAAGCAATTCTGATAAGCACTTTCTGATATATAAACTCTTCTCATATACCAAAACTTCTGGCGATGCGGTCTTTATCCACTAAATAGTTGAAAACCTCCTTCACCACATTATCGCATTTTTTCTCTTAAGTGGCGCCTAACATCAAGATAATACTCATTATTGATTGTAGTATTCGTTATTATCTTCTTGAGCAATCATAGTTGACGTCATTTAACAGCTTTTGAGCAATGCTAGTACAACGGTGCAACGAAATATGCTGACAAATGTGAACGAATAATGCTGACAAATAAGAACGAAATATGCTGACAAATGTTTTTTGCGCAAAATAATCATGGAACAAGTTATGAGTGTTTTGCATATTGGATTCCGCAAAACACTAATGGGCTCGTAGAAAATCCAAGCGTTTTAGATCAAAAAATTAAATAAAGTTTATTTTTTTTTTTTTTTGAAAGCAGAAAAACATACTTTAATACCTTTAAAATGGTACACACGCGGTCTTAGTCTTATCCATAATATTTATGTTTAAAAAACTTTCTATAAAGTATACGTTATAAGGTACTTCAGGTTTAGACGCAACTAGCTTTGTAAATTAAGATTAATAATTATTATTTTTTTACTATTGTTAAAAAAAACTGTAAGAAAATCTATTGGTCTTGTAACATAGCACTGAAATGGGAATAGTATTGCTCAAAATGCATTTTGAATACTGATTTATAAATATTATATATAATAAAACTCAATAACTTCTTTGTTCAATTTAAGCCATCAAATTACGCAGTAAATTCGTCGCCGATTCACGACTGTTTAATGATTAGTTTACTAAAAAAGTCATTAAGCCATGAGCTAGAACTTATCATTGAGCCTCAGAACTTCTCATTAAGCCATGAACAAGTAGAACTTGTTATTAAACCACAAGCAAAAAGCTAAATTAATTAAAGTACGAAATTTTTTTTCATCAACTTAAATAGTAGAAAATTTTTTGATTAGTCTGAAGGATGTTATCAAGTCAAGTATCGGAGGATGTCATTAAATCCTGGATCCTAACACTTAAATCATCTATAATTTTATCTTTTTCGCAAAGCAATGACGATGCCTAAAATAAAAAGTAATAAAGTAATATGTATATATATATATATATATATATATATATATATATATATATATATATATATATATATATATATATATATATATATATATATATATATATATATATATATATATATATATATATATATATATATTGAATGTAGAATATTATTTTATAAACATCAATAAATACGATTTTCTCTCGATACTAAATTTATTTTCTGATTTTTAAAAAAAAATTTCCCTGGATTGTTGTGACCAGCGTCTTCAGCTAAAAAGTTTGTGTGTCTTTGTTTATATGTTATTTTTAAAAATATATAAAATATATATATACTATAATATTTTTATATTATATATATATATATATATATATATATATATATATATATATATATATATATATATATATATATATATATATAATATTATTACTATATATTATATATATTATATATATTATATATATATATATATATATATATATATATATATATATATATATATATATATATATATATATATATATATGTTATATATATATATATATATATATATATATATATATATATATATATATAATATTATTACTATATATTATATATATTGGAACTAAACTCCTTGTTGTACCATCTCTTCCAATATCAACCACAAAAGATGGTCTAAATATGGTAATGTCTCTACTGCAACTAACTCTACTCATAGATTAGAAATGCGACAAAAACATCTTAGACATGGCCTTTGACACAACATACTCAAATACAGGTGAGACTCTAAAAAGCTAATATTTATTACTGTATATATATCATTAGTTTACTAAACTTTAAATCAACAAAATCATGCAAAAATCACGCAAACTCTATGATTACAAATAGCGGGGTTAAGTAATGGACTAATCGAAAAGTAATTAAATTTGATGAAAAAAAAAAGCAAAACTGTTATTTTCAGGGCTGTCCCAATCGGGGAGGAGGAAGGAGGCGTAGGGGGTGTCTAGCCCTCCTACGAATTTTATTAGTCGGCAAATTGGATACTAGAGCCAGCATAATTGGATTTATGGCTTTCGTCGGCAAAAATAGACACATCACTCCCCCCCCCCCCCCCCATCCTTTAAGATTTCTTCGGGACAGAGTTGTTAGTCCTTGGCCTTGCCTTAAGGTCAAACATTAAGGCCTTGGTCATGGTCTTGAAACTGTTGGCCTTGGCCTTGAACAATTTGGTTTTGGCCTTGAACATTTTGGTCTTGGCCTTAAACATTTTGGTCTGGCCTTGAACATTTTGGTCTTGGACTTGAACATTTTGGTCTTGGCCTTGAACATTTTGGTCTGGCCTTGAACATATTGGTCTTGGCCTTGAACATTTTGGTCTTGGCCTTGAACATTTTGTCTTGGCCTTGAACATTTGGGTCTTGGCCTTGAACATTTTGGTCTTGGCCTTGAACATTTTGGTCTTGGCCTTGAACATTTTGGTCTTGGCCTTGAACATTTTGGTCTGGCCTTGAACATATTGGTCTTGGCCTTGAACATTTTGGTCTTGGCCTTGAACATTTTGTCTTGGCCTTGAACATTTTGGTCTTGGCCTTGAACATATTGGTCTTGGCCTTGAACATTTTGGTCTTGGCCTTGAACATTTTGGTCTTGGCCTTGAACATTTTGGCTGTTGCCGTAAAACTTTCTTATTCAGAACTTTTTGTAATTTTACTACAAATGATTTTGTTTGAATTATTTTTTGAAAGCTTTTGAAATTATTTTTGTGGTTAATGGTTTAAATTTTAAAACAATCATCAATGACATGATTGGTTAAACAGAAGTTTATATCTATATTTTTAGTCACATGATTTATTTTAACGTTTTTAATTAGCAAACGTTTCAATATTTAAATAAAGATTTAAACACCTGAATTTTTCTTTAAATAAAAAACAGAATTTAAAAGGTTTTTTGAATTAAAGTTTTTATCATAATTAAACTATAATTTATAATAGTTTTTATATATATTTAATTATACTGTTTTTATTCAATTTATCTAAATGTATTTATATAAGTTGTTAGTAATGTACTTTTAATAGAGTTTATAAAACAATTTTATTTATAAAATGCAACTTTGAACCAATAAGCAATAGCTTGATTAAACTTCTATAATAAAGATATAATAATTCTATTATAAAGATATAATGGAAAAAGGTTTGCCATCAGTCATCAATTTTGGATTCTAAAATTTTCTTATAATTGGAGATAAAAGGTCAGCTAAATGTAATACATGTCATTCTAGTATTACCGAAACACACGGTGTAACTTCAGGATTTACGAAGCGAATAATTCACATTCACAATAGTTATTACTTATACAGTTCTCTTTATTTGATTTAAGGTCAATTTTTTTATATATATATCAAAAGATAATATATTTATATTACACATTTGTTTATATTTTAGTCATGTATCTTACAAACATTACAGTATAAGAAGATTCAGATTACCAAAAATCAACCTTTAATGACAAGTTTAACTAAAAAAAAAAAAGAAGACCAAAATGTTTCTTACAGTTCACAACACCCTCGCCAAAAGTTACTTACTCAAAATGTGTAACCAACATCATTGTAAATTGTAGTTTGCCAATTTCATTAACTGAAAACACGGATTTCCGAAAGTTTTTGAAAGAGATTGATCTGAAGTTTACACCGCCATGCAGGCAAACAATTGCATATGGAATTTTACAAAAAATGCAACAATGTTTCTTCAAAAGATCGCATACTGGAAGAAAAATAGCAGATGAGTTGGAGACAATAATTTCAGAAAAAACATAGCCAATAAAGTGCATTACATTGTGACAAATAATACGTCCAACATGAAGAAGGCTATGAATGTTTTGTTTGATAATGGGGAAAATCATTTGAATAATGAGGCTGATTCATCATTGTGGGAAGACCCAGTTGAAGATGATATAGATCTAAATGAGTCTCTAAATATACCTGCAAAGCAAATACCTTGCTTTGCTCATTCTCTGCAATTAGTAGTTCGTGATGGATTAAAGTTGCTAACAAATTTTAAGTCTTTTAAAATGTTCTAAACTTCAAAATTTATTACATCAAAGTTCTCTATTTCGTAGTGCCTATGAGTCTGCAATGGAAAAAGGGCATTGTGTTCCATCTAAAAATGAAACTTGTTGGGACAGTACACTTAGTCAGTTAAAGGTAATTGTTTCACTTGATCAAACCAAGTTAGGCACTGTTTTGCGTGAGTCAAACCAAGAAAATCTAATACTATCAGTCAAAGAGTTAAACCAGCTGCAAGAATTGGTGTACATATTGGAACCTTTGCTGAAGCAACAGATCTTATTCAGGGTGATAAATTAGTAACTATCAGTTGTGTTGTTCAAGTTATTCTGTCACTATCTAAAATTCTAGAGGAAATGTTAAGAAACAGCATTTTTTTCTCATCAATGATCAAAACCCTGTTACAAGGACTACATAACTGTTTTCATAGTATACTTTCATTTCTAAAAATTAACCATCCATATGAAATTGTGCCATATTCGAAAATTCATAATTTGAACTTTGACGATAACTTATTTATGATGGCCAGTGCAATGGACCTGATGTATGCATATCATTGGCTTGAAGATCATTCTGGCACATATGAGCTAAAGGGAGAAGTTAATAAAATAAACAGAGTTGATTTTTTGTAGATTTTTTTTGGGGATGTAGGGAGGGGGGGAGGGGTGATGTGGTTGATTTTGAAAAAATAACGCAGTGCTTAGTAAAAAGTGGTTATAAACAAATAGATTGAACAAAAGACTTTCAATATGCATACATTTTATTTTCAGGTCTTCTCTACACTGAACTATCAAAAATTTGCTTAAAAACAGCACAAGAAGCCATATTAATATCTAGTGAAACTAATGTAACTACAAAACAGATTCAAGAGCCGTTTACCAAAAAAAAAAATGCCTTTTTGCAAACTATAGAAAAAATCATGTTTTACAGGCACAGATAGGAATACAAATTTTGACAAAAAATAAAAAAATCTGAATTCGAATTTAAATTTTTTCAGAATTCGGTCGAATTCCAACAATATTTTAAATTTTTTTTTGTCTATAATAATAATAAAAATAACTTATTTGATATAATTCATTGTTATTTATAGCATAAAAAATACTTTCTTTAAAAATAAAAATGAAACATAAAATTATACCAAATTCAATTAGTACAGAAACATTTTAATATGGTATATCACTTTATAATAAAAAATATTGTTGTTTTATTATAAGATCAATTAAAGCTGAGTCTCTGAGCCTCGTTCAAACTCTTGTACAAAAGTTACCAGCAATTGAGAAAGCTCGCTAAGACTACACGCTCGGTGGCGGAATCAAAATCAAATATGAGTAGACCAACTCTAATATTTTGCCTCGAAAGCCATTTTCTTCAAAGAATTTCATTTCAGATTTAATTTTTGAAATTAAGCTCCTATTTATTATTTGTTGAGTTAAGTTGGACGTTATGTTGGACGATAAATTCAATTGAATTTTGTTCTCCAATTTTTGCATTAATGTTTGTTCTTCCAACATCACTTCTATCACATCGTCAGCTTCTGACTGCTTGCCTGAGGAAGTTTCCATGTTAGTGTTAAATATCAATCTATTGTTTTTTTCAAAGGTTTAGTGAAAGATGCATGAATCTCACTTTTTTCGTCATTGTGTAAATACTGAAGAGTTCCAGACATATTAGTTTGCCTTTGGCTTATTCGGTCTTCTAATTTCTTCTTTAATTTTAATGAAAGTTCATCAGATCCAAAACTCTAAAATTTTCAGCAGAAAGCAGATTTGCATTATCTCGACAAAGGGCTCCAACAGTAAGCTTCACAGGGAGAAGTGCAGAGATAATGTTTGTAATCAACAAAATTTCAGCATCTAGAATAAAGATATCAGATGCAATGTCAATCAATGCTTTTCTAATACAGCTTTTTAGCTTGATAAACCTTTGAAGCGTTTCAACTAAGCTATTCCATCTAGTTCT